CCTGTGCAAGGCAAACACCCTCCCCCACTGGACTATTGCTCTGGCTCCAAGCCTTGCCCCATTTTGTGTTTGTGTTTTTTTTTTTTTTGGCCCACACTCGGTCGTGCTCAGGACTGACTCCTGGCTCTGCACTCAGGGAATCACTCCTGGCGGTGCTCAAGGGGGCCCCATTGGGATGCCAGGGATCGAACCCAGGTCTGCCGTGTGCAAGGCTGTACCATTTATTTCTCCGGCCTTCCTGCCCCTTTTTCTTTTTCTGTTGCTGCAAAGCCTGGCAAGCTCCCCGTGACGTATTCGATATGCCGAACACCGTAACAATTGTCACAATGGAGACGTTACTGGGCCCGCTGGAGCAAATCGATGAATAACAGGAGGACAGTGACAGAGACAGTTGCTGCTAGAGGCCGGTCCGGTCCACTGAGGCAGGTGCCCTCCCTCCCCGCTTCTCCCTGGCGGGGTGGGGCTGGGTGCATCACCCCGTCTTTCCACCACCTCCTTTGCTTTGCTGCCAACAGCCCAGGATCCCTTTCTGGGTTCTGATTCCAGGGTTTGCACTCACTCACCTTCAATCATTAATGAGGGAGCAGCTGGCAGCCGGGCAGGGGGAGACAAAGGTGAGGCTGCTCCTGCCCTCCCGCCCTCCCCCCTACCTGCAGCCCAGGCCTGGCCCTGTCAACAGGAGCGCCTGATGATCTGGGGCAGGTGTGTGTGTGTGTGTGGGGGGGTTCCTCGACATGTTCTTGTATCCCGCCCGCACGGCAAAGCCTGGCAAGCTACCTGTGACGTGTTCAACATGCCAAACACAGTAACGAGAAGTCTCACGATGGAGACGTTACTGGGCCCGCTCGAGCAAATCGATGAACAAACAGGACAGTGCTATGGTGTTACAGCGCAGATTTTCTTTTTGGGTCACACCTGGCGATGCACAGGGGTTCCTCCTGGCTCGTGCACTCAGGAGTTACCCCTGGTGGTGCTCAGGGGACCCTATGGGATGCTGGGAATCAAACCCGGGTGGGCCACGTGCAAGGCAAACGCCCTACCTGCTGTACTATCACTCCAGCCCCTCGACATGTTCTTGAGAAAGGTTGGTGGTTTGGAGGATCTGGCCGGCAGCTCCCCAGATCTTTCTATATACGACCCTCCTGGCCCAGCTCAGATGGGGGCCGACAACGTGAGGGGATGCAGGTACAATTATCTTGTATCCTGGGGTGCCCCCCCTCCATTCACCTACGTGGAGCAGCTCTTTTTTTTTTCTTTTTTCTTTTTTGGGTCACACCTGGCTATGCTCAGGGGTTCCTCCTGGCTCATGCACTCAGGAATCACTCCTGGCGGTGCTTGGGGGATGATATGGGATGCTGGGAATCGAACTTGTGTCGGCTGCGTGCAAGGCAAATGCCCTGCCCTCTGGACTATTGCTCCAGCCCCAGAGCAGTTTTTTTTTTTTCTCTTTGGGTCACACCTGGAGATGCACATGGGTCACTCCTGGCTTTGCACTCAGGAATTACTCCTGGCGGTGCTCGGGGGACCATATGGGATGCTGGGAATCGAACCTGGGTCAGCGCGTGCTAGGTGAACGCCCTACCTGCTGTGCTATTGCTCCAGCCCCGCAGCTCATTTTTTAAATTTGTGTTTTGGGTCACGCCTGCTGGTGCTCAGGGCGGACTCCTGGCTCTGTGCTCAGGGATTCCTCTAGGCTGGCTCCCCGGGGTCCCTAGGGTGCCAAGGATCGAACCCGGGTCAGCTGTGTGCAAGGCCAATGTCCTTCCCGCTGTCCTATTGTTCTGACTTCTGGAATTTTTTTTTTTCCTTTTTTGGGTCACACGTGGAAATGCACAGGGGTTACTCCTGGCTCATGCACGCAGGAATTACTCCTGATGGTGCTCAGGGGACCCTATGGGATGCTGGGAATCGAACCCGGCTCGGCTGCGTGCAAGGCAAACGCCCTACTCACTGTGTACTCCAGCTCTTCTGAAAAATATATATTTTTTAATTTTTAAATTGTTCAGTTGATTTTTTTGTGATGGGGGGAGATTTTCAGGCCACGCCTGGCAGTGCTCAGGGATCACACTTGGCAGTGCTGGGGTCGGGGGTGGGGTGTGGGGGTGGCCATCATTCTCATCCCAGCCTCTGTCCATGTGCTCCTGGCAGTTCTCTTCAAACTCTGCATCTCCAAGCAAGCCTTTCTGTCTACCTTCCTCCCTCCCTCCCTTCCGGCTCTCTCTTTCTGGTTTCTGTACCACTCTGGTGGTGCTCAGGGCTTACTCTGGACTCTGTGCTAAGGGATCACTCCTGGCGGTGCTCAGGGGACTGTACATGGTGGTGCTGGGGATCGAACCCGAGTTGGCCATGTGCACGGCCACCACTTTCCCCACCGCACTGCGGCTCTGGTCCTCCAGTTGGCTCTCGGCCCTCACACCCCTCCTTTTTCTCCCGATCTCCAGCCCTTCCTCCCCCCAGGAAGCATCCAGAGGAGGTGAAGCCTGGTCCTTCGGGAAGGGATGGGGCTTCGGCGCCAAGAGTCACAGCCAGCCACCTAGACCCTCCTGGAATTGGAGGAGGCGGGAAAGATGGTCCCCTAGGGCCTGTGAGAAGACGGCTCCACTGACCAGTGACTTGTAAATTTCAGAAGTTGCATCTGTGCTGTCTTCGGAGAAGGTGGGGGGCCAGGTTTGGGGGTGCTGAGGAATAACACGTGGTCGCAGGGTTCCAGCATGCAATGTCTGCACTCCCAGTTCACATGTGTCCTGTCTTGGATGGGAGGACAGATGTGGGCCAGGGGTGCAAACACCATGGGCTGCATGCAGGGCAAGCTTTGTGCTCCTATTTGATTTAGTTACTGATGTTTACTTTTTGGGTCACACCCGGCGATGCACAGAGATTACTCCTGGCTCATGCACTCAGGAATTACTCCTGGCAGTATTCGGGAGACCACATGGGATAGTGGAAATTGAACCCGGGTCGGCCACGTGCAAGGCAAACGCCCTCCCGGCTGTGCTATCGCGCCGGCCCCCGTGCTTTTATTTCAGTTTGGGGCCCACACTCAGCGCTCAGGGTTGACTCCTGGCTCTGTGCTCAGGGAATCACTCCTGGCGGATGATCAAACCACGGGGATGCAGATCAAACCCAGGCCGGCTGTGTGCAAGAACCCCACGGACTGGGATTATTATTATTTTTTAATCTTTTGCTTTTTGGGTCACACCCGGAAGTGCACAGGGGTTACCCCTGGCTCTGCACTCAGGAATTACACCTGGCGGTGCTCGGGGGACCATAGGGGATGCTGGGAATCGAACTCGGATTGGCCGCTGTGCTATCACTCCAGCCCTGGACTGGAATGATTTTGACCAGCGTGATGACCAGTGAAGGGGGCAGGGGCTCGCCTTAACGGCCTCACATACCACCCACAGGGCCTGACTTCACCTTTGCACCCGGGATCCCTTGCTGGCTGAGGGTTGGAGGGTGTGGGGCCCGCTGAGTCAGCTCTCTAGTCTCACCACTGCTTGCGGGGAGGGGGCGGGAAGCGGCCACGCAGGCTCCGAAGCAGCCAAGTTGAGCAGCTGCCCTGGCCGGACCCAGGGGACGACAGAAATCCTTGGGCGTGTGTTGGGGATTCTGCTAAATCCACCGGGACATTCCTGATTAGCGGCTGTGGGGGTTCAGATGGCCTGAGGCCCCAGGGAGGGCCGTCCAGAGGGCAGACAGAGTTTGGGGTCGGGGGGAGGAGTACTTTGAGGAATCTTAAGGCTCCCCCTGGGCCCAGGGCCTCAGAGCCAACTATACCGGTCCCCGAAAGCAAACGCAAAAAAGGTGACACAGTGCATGGTGGACATTTGGGAAGCGTGAGATGCTGTTTGTGACACAGTGCATGGTGGACGTTTGGGAAGCGTGAGATGCTGGTTTTTTTTTCCCCCGTTGGGGTTGGGCCCAATTACAACCCACTTCTGGCAGGGATGCAGGGTGGACAATGGTCAGCACGTTTCCTCCCAAGCGCAGGGACCTTGCCCGTTCTGATGGGCGTTTCTCCTGGAGGACGGGCCCCCGTCCCCGCAATCTCCTCTCGTTCCTGGTGGTCCCCTGGCACGGCGGACAAGCCACCACACACAACCCTGCTCCAGCCCTCCTGGACCCGCACTCTGCGGATGCTGGGACGGTGACCGGGTCGCAGGTTGAGGCCCCAAGAAGGGGTGGGATCCCGCTACGCGGTAGCTCGGGCCTCAGTTTCCCCGAGGTGCAGGGGCAGGCAGCATTCGTCCTGCATCTCCGAGCCTGAGTGTTTTCCCCCAAAGAAAGGGCAAGGCGCCTCCACGCTGCAGCCCCGGGACTCAGTTTCTCCAAACGCAGGGTGGGCCGCTCGTCTCGTTCTGCAGTTTTTCCAAAACGTTGGCAGCTCTGGGGGCAAAGGAGACCTGGTTGGCCCTGATCACGATGCGCCAGCAACCTCGGAGACGACAGAACACGGAGACCCCAGCGAGCGTGCGCTGAGCCCGGGCGGCCTTCGGCTCCTCCACGCGCGCGTGGCCCCGGCAGAATGGCTCTGCGAGAAGCACGCTTTACGGCCACGCGCCCACAAGCAAGATGGCAGCGCGCAGGTCTCTTGCCCAACTCCAAGATGGTGGCACGCCTCCTTGTGCCCTCACGCCCGAGACGACGGGCTCTGCCCGCTAGCAAGATGGCGGCGAGGGGGGGAGAACAAGCACGCTTCCTGCCGCCTGACTCGCCACGTACCCACTCTCAAGATGGCGCCGCCCGCAAGCCCACGCAGGAGAGCAGCGCGCTCATTGGCTCAGGTGCGGTCACGTGGCGGCGAACGGCCTCGCCTCTCCGGGCTCCTCGGGTCGTTTCCGCCTGGACTTCTGACGGACGGCCGCCTGCCCCAATAGTCGCGTGCCGTTCCCCTCGGCCCCGCCCCCCGGGCGGCCTCCTAGCCATTGGAAGGCGCGGGAGGGGGTCCGGGGTGATAACCCCGCCCCTCCGGGCGACGGGAGCCAATGGGCAGAGCGCGCGGGGGACGTGGTCGGGCGTCTCCGCCATTTTGTGAGTCTATAACTCGGAGCCGTTGGGTCGGTTCCTGCTATTCCGGCGCCTCCACTCCGTCCCCCGCGGGTCTCCTCTGTGTGCAATGGACGGGTGAGTCGCACCTTTCCGCGCTTCCCGCCGCCCTGCCCACGCTCCCGCCGCTTCCCCGCGCCGCTGTCCCGGCCTCCCGGCCGTGGTGCCGCCGGTGGGGGCGCCGCTCCGCCCCCCGCCCCGCGCTGGGCCGCCGCGCCCCGCTCCCCTCCCCCGGCCCGCGGCCCCGCGGGCAGCGGCCGGGCCCGCCCGTGGCCGCCGCCCGCGGTCTTCCGGCCTCTCCCGCGTGCGGGGCCCCGGGCCGCGGCCGTGCCGGCCCTTTTTTTTTTTCCCGCCTCCCCGGCCGCCCGCGTTCGCGGCGTGGCTCGCGTGGCCCTTCCGGCGCCCCGTCCGGCGCCCCACGCGCCCCGCGGGGGCCCCCCGCGCGCGTGCGCAGCCGCGCCTGGCCGCCGGGCCCCGGTGCGCGTGCGCGGCCTTTCCCGCCGCGCGGACTCTGCCCGGGGCCGCCCCGCCCGGCCGCGCCCGCCCGCGCCCGCCCCGCGCCGCCCCCGCGCGCCCCACAAAGGCCGGGCCGGACCCCGAGGCCGCTTTGTTCCGCGCGCGGGGCGGGCCTGCGGGGCCCGGGCGGTCTCCCCCCCCACCCCACCCCACTCCCCCCCGCCCCGGGAGGCGGCCGCGGTCGGCGCTGGCTACTTTGTATCGCTTGGCCGCCCGCCGCGAGGCCGCCGTGTCCCCCGCGCGGGGAGGGGGGACGGGGGGGGGGGAGACTGGAGCCCCCCGCCCCGCACCCCACCAGTTGGTGAAAAGACCCACCCGGCCTCGTCTCTGAAAGTGGCTGGGGGTGGGGTGGGGAAAGAATCGGAATTTTTCTTTCCCACTTTGTTTGCAACCGTGTCCGTGGGGCCGATCTACTTTTGGCGAGGGGAGTCGGGGACGGGGTGGGGGGACTTGCGCGCTGAGCCCCAGTTTTTCCGAGGCCTTGCGGGGACGCTTATCTGCCCGGGTAGGGAATCCGGAGTGGGCCTCCCGCCCCCACCCACACACCCACACCCACTCCCCCGGCCTCGGGCTCAGGCTCGGGCTCCGCTCGGGGGTCACGTGCTTCCGCGCCCGCCCGGGCTCAATTGCAGGTTTCGGTCCGAGTTAAAAGTCCAGCGAAGTGGCTGCGGTGGGGTGGCCACCCGGGTTTCCGTCCACGCGGGCCGCCCGTCGGCTCTGGGGGCGGGGGGGGGAGCGGGGGTCCCCCGGGGCGCGCTCGGCTCCCCGCTTGCAGCCCTTTTCCGGGGGCCTGGCAGGCCCCCCCCTCCTCCGGGCGCCGCGCTGGGGGTGCAGGGGCCGTTTCCGCGGGCGCGCCCTTTCCTGCCCCCCAGCCCGGCGCATACTTCTCATTCTTCCGGCTCCGGGGCGCGCGCGCCGGGTGCAGTGGGCCGTGGAGTCTGGGTCGGGCTGCTCGCCGGTGCGTCCCGGGTACCGGCGTCATCGGGGCCGGGCCACCGCGGGGAGCGGGCCTTCCTTGGGTGCAGGAGGCTGTGTCCTATCTTACGCCGCCTCGCCCCTTCCTATGCCCACGAGGGGAGGGGAAGAAAGTTCAATCCTCCTCCTCCCCCTAGGGTTGATGAATAATCCCAGCCGGCCCCATTCCCCCGCCGATCTCGTCCCCGTGGGGGCTCCCTCTGACCTGGCCCTCCCGCCCACAACCCCCCCCCCCACACCCACTGGCCTGCTTTCTCAAGTCAGTCTAAGGCGGGCAGCACTCGAACCCCCACTGCCAGTCTCCAGGGTTCCCCAGGGCTTCCCAAGGGGAGTCCGGAAGGAAGGGTGGGGCGGGGCTGGGGGCCCAGAGGACGCCCCCTTTCAAGGGGAAATAAGATGGGGGGGTGGTTTGTCCCCCCCCCCCCCCGCTGCCCGTGCTGGGCTGACCCCGCCTTTCTCTCCTTACAGCATTGTCCCAGATATAACAGTCGGGACCAAGGTAGGCTCTGGGGGGGAGGCAGTGTGGGGGGCTCGGGTTTGGTGTGGGACCCGCCCCCTGCTCTCCAGGAATGCGGCCTGGGACTGGGAGGCCCCGGGCTCTGTCGGGGAGGCCTTCTGTCTGGGGCCCCCGCCGGCACCCCATGGCACCCCCCTCCCTCCACGGGGGCCCAAGTTTCCCCGCCGCCTGCCAGCTGCTCCCAGACGGTCAGGTCAGCGTGGCCTTCCTGGCTGGGTTTCGGTTTTCCCAAGTGGATTCTTGTCTCCACGGCCGCAGATCTGCCTGCGGATAAAACCTGTTTGTTCGGTGGGGCCAGAGGGAGGGGGCCTCGGGCGGCTCCGGGAAAGGCCGGGCCTGGGACACCTGCGGGGGCAGGGGCAGCCCTCCCCGCGCTGCGTCCCCCCGTCCTCTGAGCCTCTGGTCACTGCCTGCCCCGGGCATCCTGGTGCTGGGTGGGGTGCAGTGGCCAGGAGGCGGGGATCCCCGAGCCTGCCGGCAGAGCTGGGCCCAGGCAAGCCACGGGGGTACTCTGCGCGCACACGAGCACTCCTTAGCCGGGCCCCATGCGGCTGCGCTCAGGCGTGGGCCTGTCCACCCTCCCAAAGGCAGTTTGTGGGTCCCCACGGGCTGTGCTCAGCCCTTGACCAGGAAGTGACGGGGCGGGGGGGTGCTGGCCGGGAGCGCCGAGATTAGGTGCCCTTGAGGGGTCAGCCTTGTCCGCTGCCCACCACCGTCGCCACGGTCCTGGCCCTCGTCCCAGTCTTGCGGCAGGGGTGCTGCTCCCGTGCGTCTGGGCTGCCTTTCACTGAGCAGCCGGGGAGCCCCAGAGCTGGCCTCTGGCCTGGCCCCTGCTGCGGGTCTGGTTTCCCGGGGTGCTGGGAGGAGACCCCTGGGGGCCCAGCAGCCTCGGAGTGACTGGGAGCCCGGCCCCCCCGCCCCTGGGGACCCCCTGCGCCCTCTGAGCCCGCGCCCTCTCTTGCAGCGGGGATCTGACGAGCTCTTCTCCACCTGCGCCAGTAACGGGCCGTTCACCATGAGCGGCAGCTCGGCCTCCGCAGGTACCCGCGGCGGGTGGGGCGCGGCGGGGCGCGGCCGGCCGGGAGGGGCCCTGCCACACACGTCCCCCCGCTTTGCAGCCAATGGGAACGACAGCAAGAAGTTCAAGGGGGACAACCGGAGCGCCGGGGTGCCCTCGCGGGTCATCCACATCCGCAAGCTGCCCAGCGACGTCACGGAGGGCGAGGTCATCTCCCTGGGGCTGCCCTTCGGGAAGGTCACCAACCTCCTGATGCTCAAGGGCAAGAACCAGGTGTGCCGAGCGCCCGATGGGGGGGGTGGCGGGGGGGGGGGCGCCGGGCTGACCGCCGACGGCGGCTGACTGCTGTCCCGCGGCCCACAGGCCTTCATCGAGATGAACACGGAGGAGGCGGCCAACACCATGGTGAACTACTACACGTCGGTGACGCCCGTGCTGCGGGGCCAGCCCATCTACATCCAGTTCTCCAACCACAAGGAGCTCAAGACCGACAGCTCCCCCAACCAGGCGGTGCGTGGGGCCCCGGCTGGTGGGTGTGGGCAGGGCTGGGCCGGCGCGGCCGCCACTCACCACCCTGCCCTCCCTCCACAGCGGGCCCAGGCCGCCCTGCAGGCCGTGAACTCGGTCCAGTCGGGCAACCTGGCCCTGGCCGCCTCGGCCGCGGCCGTGGACGCGGGCATGGCCATGGCCGGCCAGAGCCCAGTGCTGCGCATCATCGTGGAGAACCTCTTCTACCCAGTGACCCTGGACGTGCTGCACCAGGTGAGCCCGCACCCGCCCGTCCGCCACCCCGCACCCCCCTCGGGCTTCGAGGCTGAGCACCTGCCTCCTGCTCCCCCCAGATCTTCTCTAAGTTCGGCACCGTCCTGAAGATCATCACCTTCACCAAGAACAACCAGTTCCAGGCGCTCCTGCAGTACGCGGACCCCGTGAGCGCCCAGCACGCCAAGCTGGTGAGCGCCCTGCCCCTCCCCCGCCCCGCCCCGTGGGCCGCCGCGTGCCTCCACCTGCCTTCCCGGCCTCACCGCCGCCCCGTCCCGCCCCGCAGTCGCTGGACGGCCAGAACATCTACAACGCCTGCTGCACGCTGCGCATCGACGTGTCCAAGCTGACCAGCCTCAACGTCAAGTACAACAACGACAAGAGCCGGGACTACACGCGGCCCGACCTGCCCTCCGGGGACACGCAGCCCTCGCTGGACCACACCGTGGCCGCCGCCTTCGGTGAGTGCTGCCCGCCCGCGCCCGCACGGCCCCGCAGGGAGACAGGTCAGGGCCCGGCGCTGAGTGTCTGTCTGTTTCCAGGTGCGCCGGGCATAATGTCCGCCTCTCCGTATGCAGGAGCTGGTTTCCCTCCCACCTTTGCCATCCCTCAAGCCGCAGGTACACACACGGCCACGTGCATGCCCACTGCGCCCCCAGCGCTGCTTGCGGGGCCCCGGAGGCCTGGACAGGGCAGTGAGGCCAGGGCCGTGCGCCCGCTGACCCCGCAGTGTCTGGTTCCCTTTAAGCACCCGGGCAGGCGAGGACAGCGCGCAGTGGCCGGAGGGACGCGCCCCTAGTAGGTGGCTTGAGTGCCTGCCTGGTAAGCGGGGGCCCGGGCAGCTCCCCTCCTGGGGCCGGGCCCCCCGCCCACCCCCCGCCCGCCGGCGTGTGGTCTGCATGGTGACTGCACCTGCATGCACGCACGGCCGGGCCCGGCGCATGTAGGCGGCCCCCCGCCCCGGGCTGTGCTCCGAGGAGAGGCGAGGCTGGAGGCTGGGCCACAGGGGCCCCTGCATGTCGGGAGGGGGGGCAGCGCGGACCCCCACGGCTCACCCCCGCGCCCCGTCTCTCCGCAGGTCTCTCTGTTCCGAACGTGCACGGGGCCCTGGCCCCTCTGGCCATTCCCTCGGCGGCGGCGGCCGCAGCGGCAGCGGGCAGGATCGCCATCCCGGGCCTGGCCGGGGCAGGGAACTCCGTCCTGCTGGTCAGCAACCTGAACCCCGAGGTACGTGCCCCGCCCTCCCCGGCTGCGGCCGCCGGAGCGGCCGGCCCTCTGGGGTTCGCGCACTTGGGGGCGGCTCCCGCGCCTCCACGCACTCGGCTCCCGGTCCGGGCCGTCTCGGTTCGCATCTGGCTCCGACTGTGACGTTCAGCGTCGCGGTCGCTGTGGACCCTTGACAAACTGGGAGCCGGAGGAGCTGGGGCTGGGGTTCCGCCCCGCCCCCCCAGGCCCGTCTGCGGCCGCTTGTGCCCGAGGGCCGGGAGCGGGGGGCGGCGTGCGCAGGGCCGTGCGTGTGGCGTCTGCGGTCGTAGGAGACGCGGGGCCGGGCCGCGGGGCGGGGGGCCTGGTGTCTCCTGCTCGCTGAGGAGGTGCTTCTGCCTGTGCGGCCGCGGCCGTGGCTGTAATGTGTTGGTGGAACACTGCGTGTTTTCTTATGTATTTACTGACCTATGTTTTTTGCTACTTTTTCTTTTCTCCCCTTCCCCTTTCCCGGTTTTTTTTCTTGCCCTGATCCGGAATTTCTTTGCCAACTGACTGCACGGTACTTCCGCTTCCTGTTGTTGCTTGAAACAAAACCATAAATCAATAAAAAAATAAAAACAAACCAAAAAACAAAAACCAATCCCCCTCAAACCCTGCTCTCCGGAAACCAACCCGCCCTTGAATATTAACATCCTGACAACTTCATCGTCGGCAACACTGCACGCCTGGGGCCGCCTTCCTCCTGGTGGACCACTGGCAACTCGCCTCTGACCTCTCCCTTTCCCTGTCCCTCCGCTGCCTTGCTCTGCTGTCCTCTAAAGAGAGTCACACCCCAAAGCCTCTTTATTCTTTTCGGTATGTTATCGTTCACCCTTTTATTTACCTTGTTTTCGTGTAATTGCGGTTATTGGCGCCCTGAGACGGTCCCATGTTGAGTTTTGCACTTCCGGCCTCCTGCCTCGGCCCCTGACTTGCCTTTTCGGTTTGCGAGTGTGTCGGGAGTCCGTAGACACGCATGGTTTACTGCATGCCTTTCGGAGTTAACGCGTGTTTGGTAGCATGTCGGGGCCACTCGCCGTGGCCCCCCTGTCCTGCGCTCCGTGGACGGAAGGACGCCCCCACGGCGGGGCCGCGCTCCCCCTTAACGGCCGCCCCTGGGACTTAGCCGCGGGTGCCAGGGGCGGAGGGAGCCAGCCCACCGCGGGGGGAGCCAGGCGCGTGCGGGGTGCGGATGCGGGTGCCGGCTGGGGGGTGGGGGGGGGCGGGCAGGCGGGCGGGCGGGCGGACACGCCTGCGGCTGCGGCCTCTCAGCTCTGGGTCCTGTTCCCAAGGCGTCTACGGAGATGTGCAGAGGGTGAAGGTGCTGTTCAACAAGAAGGAGAACGCGCTGGTACAGATGGCCGATGGCAGCCAGGCCCAGCTGGGTAAGGCGGGGCGGGAGGAGCTGGAGCCGTGGGGGTGGGGGGCGCTCCGCGAGGCCGGCCCACGGCCCCCCCTGACGGCTGTGCCCTTCCCCGCCCAGCCATGAGCCACCTGAACGGGCACAAGGTGCACGGGAAGCCCGTGCGCATCACCCTGTCCAAGCACCAGAACGTGCAGCTGCCCCGCGAGGGCCAGGAGGACCAGGGCCTGACCAAGGACTACGGCAACTCGCCGCTGCACCGCTTCAAGAAGCCCGGCTCCAAGAACTTCCAGAACATCTTCCCGCCCTCGGCCACGCTGCACCTCTCCAACATTCCGTACGTGCCCACCCGATGCACCCTGGGCATGCCGGGACCCCCGTCCCCCCCCACGGCTGACCCCGCCCCGCCCCTCTCCCCCGCAGGCCCTCCGTGTCTGAGGAGGACCTGAAGCATCTCTTCTCCAGCAACGGTGGCATGGTCAAGGGCTTCAAGTTCTTCCAGTGAGTGCGAGGGCCCCGCGGGCCTGCCTCTGCCCGCCCCCGCCCCCTTCCCGCACCCTCATCCCACACCCTCTCCTGTCCCCTCCGGCCCCCCACAGGAAGGACCGCAAGATGGCGCTGATCCAGATGGGCTCCGTGGAGGAGGCGATCCAGGCCCTCATGGACCTGCACAACCACGACCTGGGCGAGAACCACCACCTGCGGGTGTCCTTCTCCAAGTCCACCATCTAAGCGGCCGCCGCCCCCGCATTCCAGAAAAGCCACTTTAAAAAAGCAGCTGAAGTGACCTTAAAAAGACCAGAGATTTTATTTTTTTAAAGAGAAATCAGTTTACCTGTTTTTGAAAAAATTAAATCTAATTTGCCTTGCTCACCCGGGGCGGGGGAAGCGGGTGCTGGCAGCGGACAGCTCACCCCGCACCCCTGGCCCGCCCCCTCGCCCGGTGCCTTCTGGAGCCTGGGGGGTGGGTGTCCCCCCAACCCCACTCGGCTTCCTCGTGCCTTAAAACCCGCTGCTGTGGCAGGTCCCTCCTGCGGTAGCTCAGGGGGCGGGGGGCTGCCGAGGGGGGGGCAGCGCCCCCCGCCCGGGATCACGTGCCTGGCCAGGCCAGCCGGGGAGGCCGACACCCCTATCCGTTAATCAAGTGTCTGATTGTCCCCTCCCCTCCCGGGGAGCCCCGGGCACACCCCCTTCTCCAGCTTGGTTCTCACAGTAGTCTCTGCTGGCTGCGCCTCACCTGTGCCTGACCCCCCTCATTTATATGCAAAAGAATCATTTAAGGAACTTTTGTAGCGTTGCCGAGAGGTGCCTCTGCTCCTGGCCTCTGTACTGTCCACTCTGAGGACGCCGGGCCTGTGCCCGGCCATGCTTTCAGCCTCAGGGGATCTTTCCTGCAAATTTTGGACCAAAGTTTTGTTGGGGTTCTTTTTCCTTTTTTCCTTTTTCTCTTCTTTTTTAAGAAAAAAAATTTGTCTGCCTCTAGTGCTGGGGGGCCCCTTCTGGGGAAGGTGGGACCAAGGGCCCAAGTCTTAATGTCTCCCGCCCCCCGAAAACCATGTGATTTCCTGTGCTGTGGGGGGCCCACGAGACGCTTCTTCCCGTGCTGACCGGCCCCCTCCCCCGGGGCCCGGGCCCCCCGAACTGTTCCATATCGCGGGGCCCTAACAAGGGTGTAAATATTTATAATTTTTTATACCTGTTGTAAGACGAAGGGGCAGCAAACTCGGTTTTTTACGGTGACACAGATGTATATTTTGATACCAGCGATTACAGGCTCAGTATTGTATGCGGAGCTCGCGAGCGTGTGCGGGGCCTCGGCGCCCGCCGACAGCTTGTAATGCGGAGAGAACCGAATTAAAAGCGATTTTATAACAACCGCCTCCCTGCAGGCTCTTTCTTCTGCCCAGTGTAGCCGGCGCGCGGCCTGGCTGGTCTGTACTCGACTTTGAATAAACTTCTGTCCTGCACCACCGCCCCGCTGCTGGTCGTCACTGCCGCCTGCCTCTGTCTGATTCCGTTCCTGGCCAGGGCCCCTCAGGTGGGGGGGGGGAGGGAGGTGAGAGGGCTCCTGCCTGCCCAGGGGGGTCAGGACGGGCATCTGTGGGGGGGACAGGGGCTGGACGGTGGGGAGGGCTGAGCTGGGTTTCGCCCGACATCCTTGGGCCCCACCCCGCTCCCGCTCCCTCCAGTAGTCCCCGCGTGCACCGGGTTCCGGAGTCCGGCGGGCATCAGGATCGAGGGGCAGAGAAGAGGCAGGACGCGGGCCGCTGCTGACCCTTTATTGAACGGTGGGAGCCGCCCCGCCCGGCCCGCCGTGCCCCATGCTGCCCCTTCCTCCCGCCCACCCGCCCCGCAGGCAGCGGGCTCAGTCCTTGAACCTGCGGGCCGCCTGCATCTTGCGGAAGTAGCTCTCGGCCTCGGTCTCCGCCGCGGGGTCGCCGGCCCCCAGGCCCCCCGCCTTGCGCCGCAGCGTGGACTCGCGGCTGGCCGGCCCCAGCACGCCGTCCGCGGCCCCCGGCGGCGGCAGCCCCTCGCCCGTGGCCAGGTTGACGGTGGCCACGGCGCCGAAGCGCGGCTCCTCCTGGTCCACGTCGCTGACGGACGAGCCGGGGGACACGCCCAGCGGCCGGGGCACCCCGCGGAAGCCCCGCGCCAGGTCCCCCAGCTCGTAGACGGCCTCGGGCTCCCCGGGGCCCCCGCCGCCGCCCCCCGCCGCCGCCGCCTTCCACTCCCAGGGCCCGTTGCCCGCCGACAGGTGCACCACCGGGTGGTGTGGCGCGTGCGCGTCGATGGTCACGATGCTGGCCGAGTCGCGGTCCGACGGCGAGCGGTACTGCGACGAGTCGGAACTGGCGCTGGACGACGACGCCGTCTCGGCCACCTTGGGGCCCTGCCCGCCGGGCGCCTTGGACATGGCGATGACCTGCAGCAGCCGCGGCGGGTTGGCCACCCGGGGCTGCGAGGGCGCGGCCGCCGCGGCCGCCGCGCCGCCCTTCTCGGCCATCAGGAGCCACTTGGCCCGCACGGCCGCGCTGCTCTTGGGGGACAGCCCGGCCACGGCCTGCGCGCCCTCCTCGGGGATGTGCGTGAGCGGCTGCGGCCCGGGCCGCGGCGGGAGGATGACCCGGGGGCCCAGGCCCGGCCGCGCCTGCACGGTGGGGTACAGGGACGGCGGCGCCGGCCCGCCCTCCTCGCCCTCCTCCTCCTCCTCCTCGTCCTCCTCCTCCTCCTCCTCGTCCTCCTCGTCCTCCTCCTCCTCCTCGGCCATGGGCTCCGCGGGGGCGCGCAGGTGTCCGGGGCTGGCCTCGTCCGGGAGCCCGAGCCCGCGGCCGTCCAGCGACTTCTGCTTCCACTCGCTGATGAGCTGCTTGGAGCGGGACGCGTCCAGCGGCACGTGGATGGTCATGTGGCGGCGCGCGGGGTCGTCCAGGGACGGCGTGCTGACGCGGGGCAGCGTGTGGCTGAAGGTGACCATGTTCTCCTTGCCCATGGGGCTGCGCGGCGCCAGCAGGTCCACGTCCACGCTGGCGCGCTTCAGGCTGCCCAGGGAGGTCTTCTCGCGGGCCACGGGCCGGGGCACGCCCTCCAGCCGCCCGGGCGGCCCCAGCTCGTCGGTGCTCACCGATTTGTTCTGCTGGTACACGGAGTCGTGGCCACGCTGGGTCAGCGCCCTCAGGGCGTCCTTGCTGGGCGCCGCGGCCGCCGGCTTCTCTGGGGGGGGCGCCTGGAAGTTCCCCACCGCGTGGCAGGCCTGGGAGTGGGGGACGGACGGACACGGGGAGGGGTGTCAGGGGTGGGGGGGACTTGGCCGCAGGATTTGGTTCCCTGCCTTGGAGGAGAAGGCGGCCAGGGTCCGGAGGGCCAGGCCTGCTGGGGTGAGGGTGGAGCGGGGAGCAGCCCCAGCTGACCCCGAAGATCTGAGCCTGCCGGACTGAGTCCAAGAGGCCGGACACTTCAGAGTCAGCTTCCGCCCTCTCACTTCCTCTTGGAGCCTGCATCCCCCCTCTGACCTCTTTGGGACCTGTTTCCCCCCTCTGACCTCCTGGGGGCCTGCCTTCCCCCTCTGACCTCCTTGGGGCCTGCCTCCCCCCCTCTGACCTCCTGGGGGCCTGCCTCCCCCCTCTGACCTCCTGGGGGCCTGCCTCCCCCCTCTGACCTCCTGGGGGCCTGCCTCCCCCCTCTGACCTCCTGGGGGCCTGCCTTCCCCCTCTGACCTCCTGGGGGCCTGCCTCCCCCCTCTGACCTCCTGGGGGCCTGCCTCCCCCTCTGACCTCCTGGGGGGCCTGCCTCCCCCGTCTGACCTCCTGGGGGCCTGCCTCCCCACCTCTGACCTCCTTGGGGGCCTGCCTCCCTCCTCTGACCTCTTTGGGACCTGTTTCCCCCCTCTGACCTTCTTGGGGGCCTGCCTCCCCCCTCTGACCTCCTGGGGGGCCTGCCTCCCCCCTCTGACCTCCTGGGGGCCTGCCTCCCCACCTCTGACCTCCTTGGGGGCCTGCCTCCCTCCTCTGACCTCTTTGGGACCTGTTTCCCCCCTCTGACCTCCTGGGGGCCTGCCTCCCCTCTCTGACCTCCTGGGGGCCTGCCTCCCCCCTCTGACCTCCTGGGGGCCTGCCTCCCCCCTCTGACCTCCTGGGGGCCTGCCTCCCCCCTCTGACCTCCTGGGGGCCTGCCTCCCCCCCTGACCTTCTGGGGGCCTGCCTCCCCCCTCTGACCTCCTGGGGGCCTGCCTCCCCCCCTCTGACCTCCTTGGGGCCAGTCTGCCTCCGGCTCTGGGCCCCAACACTGTACCGGGTGGCCTCACCCCCTCACCAGATAGGCGGCGATGCCTGCCCCTATGAGGAAGCCCGCGTAGACGTCGACCGGGTGACTCCGGTACTGGGTGATCTGGGTGAGGCCGCAGACACCGGCGGCGATGGCAAAGGCGAACACCAGGATGGGCTTGAGCAGTTTGGTGGTGTCCGAGATGACCGAGTTGAAGTACATCTGCGGGGGACAGTCGGTGGGGGTCAGGGGAGGAGAGGACCCCCAGGCTGGAGGGTGAGGGATGGGGGGAGACTCACCGATACATAGACAGCGGCGAAGGCGGACAGCGTGGCGTGCTGGGACGGGAAGGTCTTCCTGTAAGAGGCGTGGAGTCAGGACCCGCCCCGGCCACCCGTCCGGGCCTCAGTTGCCCCAAAGACCCCGAGGGACAGGCACGAGGAGGGGCCACTCACCGGGCGGACAGGATGGCGTGGGTATCGTGGCCCGAGCAGATGTCCTGCGTGATGTAGGGGTTGGCCTCACACGAGGTGCCCAGGAGCGTGTAGTTGGGTTTGCACACCGTCAGGAAGAAGGGCGCGTGGTAACCCGTGGCCAGCTGGATGACATCGGTCACCAGGGCAGTGGCGCACAGACCGAACACATGCACGCCTGTGGGCAGGGCGTGGGCAGATGGTGGGGGCGTGGCCACAGCCACGGGGGCGTGGCCGTAGCCCTGCAGAGGGGACCACAACCGGCCAGGAGGGGTCACATCTAGCCCGAGGGCGGAGTAATAGCTCTGGACGGCTGCTGGTGAGAAGGGGCGGGGTCACAGCTGGGAGGCGGGGTCACAGCTGGCAGGAGGGGTGGGACTACAATCTGACATGAGGGGCGGGGCCACATCAAACGGGAATGGGCGGGGCTATGGTTAATCAGAAGGGGCGTGGTAAAACGGGGCGGTGCAAACCTGGGTGGGCGGGGCCACTGTTATGGGCGGGGTCACTGTTATGGGCGGGGCCACGATTGCTCAGAAGGGGCGGGGCCACACCATGGGGCGGGGCCACACTAATAGCACAGCCTGGAACAGAGGCTCAGGCAACTTGGAAGCTGGGGACCTGGAATGTGACCTGGGACAGGGTTAGGGAGGCGTGGGGACATCTCAGGCCACTCACCCACAAAGCGCACGGTGCGCCGCAGAAAGGAGTTGAAATTGCAGCCTCCTGCGTTGATGGTACCCTCCGTGCCACCGGGCCCCCCGCTGCGTCCCCACAGCCGGGACTGAAGGCAGTAGAGCATGCCTTCGCCCACCATGATCTGGGGGACACGGAGCAAGAGCTCAGCCGGGCTCCCAGCCCGCCCGCTGGCCCAGCAGCGCCCCCCTCGGCGGCCTCGCACTGGCCCCTCCGGCGGGTACTCACCGAGGCTGCGGGTGCGGCGAAGGCCAAGCTGAGGAGCATGAGCAGAGGGATGAGCTCCTCGCTGGTCTCCACGTAGGGCATGGACAGCGTGCGGTCATAGCACTGGAAACCCACCTTCGCCGGCTTGAAGAGGTCGGTCAACTCCAGGAAGTACAGGGACACGATGGAGGATGCCACGATGGGCAGCTGCGGGGAGACCGTGGCTGTGCCCAGACTCCCGCACTACCCACCCTGGGTGGGGGGTCAAGCCCGTCTTCTGGTCTTCTGGTTCCCTCTGCCCTCCTCCTCCTCCTCCCCCCTCCCCCATTCAGCCGATCACCCACTGGGCAGTGTGTCCATCGGGGACTCACTACACATTTGTGTAACACGCCAACATCTAGCCAGTCGTGCCCTTTCCTGTGCCCAGGAATTCGCCCATCCCGACTTACCCATCCGTCTTTTCAGCCACCCCTTATTTTCTGCCACCCATCAGTCCACCTGCTCTCCAGCCCTACTTCCAGCCAGCCACCACTCCCCACCTCTCCCTCCGTCAACCCACCACCTATCCATGCATCCTTTCAACCCTCCATCCGTCCTCTACTCACCACCCATCTGTCCACTCACCACCCATCCACCCACCCATCCACCAATCCATGCACCCATCCATCCACCCACCAATCCAGTACCCAACTAACCATCCACCCATCCACCAGTCCATGCACCCATGCACCCACCCACCCACCCACCAATCCAGCACCCAACTATCCATCCATCCATCCACCAATCCATGTGTCCGTCCACCCACCCACCCATCCACCAATCCATGCACCCATCCACCCACCCACCTACCAATCCAGCACCCGACTATCCATCCATCCACCAATCCATGCACCCATCCACCCATCCACTCACCATCCAGCCATCTATCCAGTCATCCAGCCATCTAGCCCCACCCATCGGCCACCCACATCTCTGTCCCTCCAATATCCACGCAGCCACCATCCTCTCATCCTCCAGCCCACCCTCCTGTCTACCCACCCACCATCTACCCCCATCCACCCATTCTCCGTCCATCCACACACCGATCCATCCACTGTCCATCCACCCAGCCCTCTATCCATCCGCCATCCACCCACTCCCTACCTAGTTATCTCCCCACCCACATGCCACCCAGCCCATCCACCCACCGACCCACCATCCACTTCATCCACACGTTTTCCCTCCAGCCGTCCTTCCAATTTGAGTGCCCCAGAAAGAGCAGGAGCACACAACCCTTCCTTCTGGTCTCTTCTCTCAAGGATTAAGAGCTCTTCTGGTCCCCTAGATTCCTCCAGAGCCCTCCAGACACCCCCATCTCTTGCCCTTTGCATTTTTAGTATTTTCTCTGGACCCCAATTTTTTTCTTTTTTGGCTTTTTTTTTTGGAGGGGGTCACACCTGGCGATGCTCAGGGCTGACTCCTGGTTCTGCACTCAAGAATTACTCCTGGCGGTGCTCAGGGGATCATATGGGATGCTGGGAATCGAACCCGGGTCGGCCACGTGCAAGGCAAATGCCCTACCCACTGTGCTATTGTTCCAGCTCCGGACCCCAATTTCTGTATCGACTTATTACCCAAGGAGGGCCTCTGGCCCACGGCAGGTGCTAAATGAATGAATGAGGGACCCAAGTGAGAGTCCAGCAGGGAGGGTGTTTGTCTTGCACGTGGTCAACCTGGGTTCTATCCCCCAGAATCCCATATGGTGCCCTAAGCACCATCAGGAGTGATTCCTGAATGCAAAGACAGGAGTAACGGCTGAGCATGGCCAGGTGTGTCCCAAAAAGCCAAAATAATAAATAATAATAATAATAATAAATGTTCTTTTGTTTGTTTGAGGTCACGCCCTTGATGCTCAGGGCTTATTCCTGGCAGCTTATTCCCAGGGCCGGAGCAGCGGGACAGAGGGAAGGGCACTTGCCTTGCATGCAGCTGACCCGGTTTCAACCCCCGGAACCACACGGGGCCTCCTGGTAGTCTCAGGGAGCATCACACTCCATTACCCAGGACTCATGTCCTGAGGCCCCTGCTCCCCACCTCTCAGAGGGTCTCCTGGGCCGGAAGGGGTGAGGGGCTTCTCCCAGGGCAGGGGCAAGGCTGGAGCTCCCTGGGAAAATGCCTGAGGTTGGGTTCAAAGGCACCCCACTGGGGGCTGGAGACATAGGACAGCAGGAAGGGCGCTGGCCTTGCACTGTGGCTGACCATCCCTGAGCACAGAGTCAGGAGTCAGCCCTGAGCACTGCTGGGTGTGGCCCCCCAAACAGAACAAAGAGTCTGCTCCTGGTGACCGTCTCTGCTGGTGGGGGACGGTCCCTGCTGGTGGGGGATAGTCTCTGCTGGTGGGAGACCATCTCCTCCTCCTCCTCCTCCTCCTCCTCCTCCTCCTCCTCCTCCTCCTCCTCTTCTTCTCTCCCCGTCCTTCCCAGATGCATCAGGAACCTCTCAAGGGCAGAGGACTGGCCCCTTTCTGGGGGATCCTTGTTGGGTTCACACCCCCCCTGAATAATCATAATTGAAACGGGGGGTGGTGGCTTCCAGGGCTGGGGGCCCAGGTTTCATCTCCAGCAGTATGGGGGCCCACCAGCACACCAGGAGCAAGCCACGAGCACGTGCCGGTAGGGGCCCCCCAACACCGAAGAAATAAGTGATGGGCGGGCGCTGGAGCGATAGCACAGCGGGTAGGGCGTTTGCCTTGCATGCGGCTGCCTTGGGTTCGATTCCCAGCATCCCATAGGGTCCCCTGAGCACCGCCAGGAGTAATTCCTGAGTACAGGAGCCAGGAGTAACCCCTGTGCATCACCGGGTGTGACCCAAAAAGAAAAAATAAAATAAAAAGAAAAGACAGCGGAGAGGATGCTGGCCTGGCACACAGCCAACCTGGGTTCGATCCCTGACACCCCCATTGAGTCCCCCAAGTCCTGCCAGGAGGGAGCCCTGAGCGCAGAGCCAGAGTTAACCCTGAGCACTGCTGGGGGTCACCCCGAAACCACACACACATATTCAATGGGACCCTCTGAGCCAAGGACTGGACTGTGGGTCTGGTTTTGCATCTCCCTGGCTGGAACCCTCACGCTGCTGATCCTGACACCCGCCTGCGGGTGAACACAGGCGTGGACCAGCCCGTAAGTTGAGTTCCCCGGGGTCAGTGACACAGGCCACAGGCTCCATTGTAGGGCTAGGGCCAGGGGACAGTGGGGAGGATGCTAGATTTGCACGTGGCCACTCTGGGTTCAATCCCCGGCTAAGGACCACAGGGTCCCTGGGCCCTGACAGGAGTCATCCCTGAGTGCAGAGCCAGGAATCAGCCCTGAGCATCGCTGGGTGAAGGCCCCGAATAAAATAAATTAAAATAAAATAAAATAAAATAAAATAGCTTTCCTATGGCCTGAGCCAGAGGGGAGGGCGCTTGCCTTGCACGCAGCTGACCGGGGTTCAATCCCCAGCACCCCGAGGGCCTCCTGGTTATCCCAGGGAGCACCCCTGAGATCGGGTGGGAGGGCACTGCCCCATCTGGGCTCATGTCCTGAAGCGCCCCCTCCCCACCTCCCCAAGAGGAAGGGGTGAGGGGGGTCCCCCAAGAGCAGGGGTGGGGTTGGGGCTCCCCAAGAGAAAATGCCTGAGGTTGGGTACAAAGGCCCCGAGGAAGGGTCCCCAGCATGGTTGATCACCCCAAAGAGGAAAAAAAGTGCATCCCTGCTGGTTGGGGGGAACAGGCAAGGTGGTTGGGAAAAATCCAAGATCAGGAAAGGGGTGGGGGCGGGGTGGGGCGGAAGAAGGGGTTGGGGGAGAAACTGCCGGCTGGGCTGGCAGCGGAGCTGAATGGGTGAGGAAGTTTCTAGAACAGGGGGGTGGGCAGGGGGACCCCAGGGAGGGCGACAGCTCATCCCCATAGCCTTCCCCCCCAAGTCTAGCCTATTGTAATGGAAATGTGAGAAAGAAACAGATTTTCTGCAAAGGGAAGCAGATTTGGTCAGGAGGAGACAGGAGGGGGGAGAGGTATGGGGGGGCAGAGGGGGGAGGGGCGTGGGGGGGGACGCTGGGGGGTGGATGCAGGTGGCCCCATTTCTGCATGCCCTTGACAGGCAGCCCCTGCAGGACCTGCACGGAGAGGGCTGGAGTCTGGGGGCCCCTCACTGCCGTGGCTGGAACTGCATGTTAAGTGTGTGTGTGTGTGTGTGTGTGTGTGTGTGTGTGTGTATGGGGGGAGCGGGAGTCGGGGAGACAGCTCAGTGCTGCGGCTCATACTCGGTGGAAAAGAGCCCCAGGTTTGAGTCATAGCACTGCCTGGAGTGACCCCTGCCCAACCCAACCCCTGAGCACCGAGCAGGGAGGAGTCCTTGAGCACCGCCAAGCAGTGGCTACCCCCCCAAAAAAAGGGGAGGGTGTGCCCGAGGGTTCAGGGACCACAGCAAGTCCCACTACCTGGGCTGGGGATGTCGGCTTCCTCGAATGCCCGTTATTCGCTTTCATTTCCAAAGCCCTCCGGGGAGCCGGGAGAGGCAGCACAGAGGAGAGGGTGCTTGGCCTTGCACGCGGCTGACCCAGGGTCCCCGGCCTCCCATAGGGTCCCCTGAGCACCGCCAGGAGTGATTCCTGAGCGCAGAGGCAGGAATCAACCCTGAGCACCGCGCCGGGTGTGGCCTCCCAAAACACCTCAAAAAAAACCAAGCCCACCCCACCCCACCCAAAAAAGGAGGAAAAAGAAAAAAAAAACCTTCTGAAGCTGGGGGCCACTGGCTGGACCTGTTCCAAGCAGAAGGGCTGTGGCCGGAGCTGCCCAACCCACAGCCTCAGAATCTCCCCTCGGTGCAGGACCCCAACACCCACGGCCTGCACCCCCAGACCACCCACCCTTCGTGGCCCCTGGAACTCCTATTGGCCCTGCAAAGCCCGACGCCTTTGACCCACCAGCACCGGCACCGCCACGACGCACCTCGCCAGGCGCCCCCGGACCGAGGCTCCCCGGCGCCGTGCGCTCCGGTCCCTCGGCGTGGGGGTCTCCCGGCAGGGCCCCCCGACTCACCTCCACGAAGTAGAAGCAGGGCAGCAGCGTCATGCTGTCCTTGGGGTGCTTATTTTTCTCCTTGGCGGCGGCGATCATGGTGCTGCGGGCGCGGGCGGCCGAGGTTTCCCGAGACAAAGCGGCGCGCCCCGGGGGGGACCTGCAGAGGCGGGGCGGGCGGGCGCGGGGAAACTGAGGCCGGGGGCGCGGGGATCGGGGGGTCCCCCGCGCGCAATCGGGCTCCCGGGCACCCCGCGCCGGGGCAGCGTTGGGACCGCGGGGGGCTCGGCCGGGAGGGCGGGGCCGACCTGGCGGGGGGCTCCGGCCCGACGCCCGCGTCACGCGGGGTGCGGGGGGCCGCGATGGGGCGGGCGGGCGGGCGATCCGGGGGGTCCCGGGCCCGGCGCGGGTGGGGTCCGGCCGCGGGGGCCCCGCACCTGGCGCGGCGGCGCGGAGGGCGGAGCTGGCGGGGGGCGGGGCCGCGCCGCACAAAGACGCCCCCTCCCCGCGGGTCGCCGCCCCCCGGACCCCGGGGGGCTCAGGGACTCTTTGTCTCTGCTGGCGGGCGGTGGGGGGGGGGGTCTCCGCGGCGGCTGCGTGGCCCCCCGACCCGGCCCGGCCCTGCGCTCCCGCGTGCGTTTCCATGGCACGTTCCCCGGGGCCCCCGAGCCGTCTCCAAGCGAGACAAAAGGATGTGGGGGCGCCCGGCCCCGCGGGCCCCCGCTTTGCCGGGCCCCCCATCTGCAGTGGCCCCACGCCCCCCCGCCTCCGTCCTCGCCCCCCGCGCACCCACAGTCGCCACCGTGGCACCCTGCACCCCCGCCCCCCCCACCTTGCTCCCCTGCTCGCTACCCGGCCTTGGTGCCACCTCTGGGCCCTCTTGATCTTCTCTGCATCCGCCCTCCGACCCCCCTCCCCTCTCTCCCCCAGACCCCCCACCTCCCTCCTGCACCCTGGCTCCGTTCCACCAGCTCGGGTCCCTCCCGGCTCCCAGATCTCCCGGGCCCAAGGGGGATGGGAGATGCACCCCTGGATTGAAGTGTGTGTGTGGGGGGGGTTCCCTTGAGACTTGGCTGCCAGGCAGTAACCAGAGCGCTCAGTGGACAGAGGGGGAAACTGAGTCCCAGGAACTTCTCCCCGCCCCTTTCTGGACCTGGGCCCAGGCTGAGCCCCCGGTTCTGGTCTAGGGGGAACTGAACACACACACACACACACACACACACACACACACACACACACACACACACACAGTCAGCCTGAGCCTGTATGCTCTCCCTGTTCCCCGGCTGGGCCCCTTCTGTGTCAAAGAATTTTTTTAAAGGGGTCTGAGAGATTGTTGGGCCGGTGGGGGAGGTGCTTGCCTGAATGAGTCTGAGCCAAACTCAGTCCCCAGCACTGCACAGGGTCCCCCGAGTCCCTCCAGGGGTGACCCCTGAGCACAGAGACAGGAGTCAGCCCTGAGCACAGCTGCGTGTGGCCCCCAAACTTAAAAGCAAAATAAAACAGGGGCTGGAGCGAAAGTACTTGGGAAGAAAGACACTTGGCCTTGCAGGCAGCTGGCCTGGGTTCTGTCCCCAGCACGTCCGCATGGTTCCCCCCCAGCCCTGAGCACAGAGCTGGGAGTAAGCACCTCTGGTTTAAAATTTAAAATTTCAAAATTTTAAATATTTTTAGGGCCTGGAGCGATAGCACAGAGGGTAAGGTGTCTGCCTTGCATGTGGCCGACCCGGGTTCGATTCCCACCATCCCATATGGTCCCCTGAGCACTTCCAGGAGTAATTCCTGAGTGCAGAGCCAGGAGAAACCCGTGTGCATCGCCAGGTGTGACCAAAAAAAAAACAATTTTTTAAAAAAAATTTAAACCTTTTTAAAGTAAATTAAAAAAAAAAAAAAAAAAAAACTAGGGCCAAGGTGGGTTTGCCGGGTCTGGAGTGATAGCACAGCAGGGAGGGCGTTTGCCTTGCGCGTGGCCGACCTGGGTTCGATTCCCTGCATCCAGTATGGTCCCCTGAGCACTGCCAGGAGTAATCCCTGAGTGCTTGAGCCAGGAGTGAACCCTGTGCATTGCCGGGTGTGATCCAAAAAGCAAAAAAAAAAAAAAAAAACAAAAAAAACAAAAAAAACCCAAAGTGGGTTTGCCTTGTACATAGTCAACACTGGTTCGATCCCTAGCATTCCATATGGTGCCCTGAGCTCCACCAGAGGTAATTCCTGAGTGGAGTAACCCCTGAGCATCGCTGGGTGTGACCCAAAACAAATAAACAAAACAAAACAAGAACAAAGGCAGGAGCGATAGTACACCGCGGAGGGCGTTTGCCTTGCATGCAGCCAACCTGGGTTCGATCCCTGGTGCTTCATAGGGCCTCCGGAGCACCACTAGGAGTGGTCCCTGAGTACAGAGCCAGAGTAAGCCCTGAGCATTCCCGAGTGAGACCCAAAAGTCAAAAATAAAACAAAGCAAAGTTTGACCTATGACCTCAGTTTCTCTCTTGTCTGTTCCACTCACCCAGTGTATGGCATTGGGTGGGGTTTAAGCGGATGCTGGGGGGGGGAGTTCGTTGGGGGTGAAGCCTGCATGCTCAGCCGTTTAGCACTTTGGTGTCGAAAGGTAACCAGGGGCTGGAGCAATAGCACAGTTGGTAGGACGTTTGCTTTGCACGCGGCCGACCTGGGTTCAATTCCCAGCATCCCATAGGGTCCCCTGAGCACCGCCAGGAGTAACTCCTGAGTGCAGAGCCAGGAGTAACCCCTGTGCATAGCCAGGTGTGACCCAAAAAGGAAAAAAAAAAACAAAACAAAAATCAAACCTACCATCCTGTGTCCCCAAGGTCGGGCAGGGACATCACCTTGAAAGTAAGCCCCCCCCCCCACCCCGGGCTGGAGCAATAGCACAGAGGGGAGGGGGTTTGCCTTCCACACTGCCGGCCGACCTGGGTTCGATTCCCAGCATCCCATATGGTCCCCTGAGCACCACCAGGAGTGATTCCTGAGCGCATGAACCAGAGTAACCCCTGTGCATCGCCAGGTGTGACCCAAAAAAGCAAATAAATAAATAAATAAAAAATAAAATAAAAAAGAAAGAAAGTAAGCCCCAGGAGCAGTTGTTAGGGGGCCAGAGCTATAGACAGTGGGGAGGGCGTTTGCCTTGCACACAGCCCACCCAGGTTTGATCTCTGGCATCCCAGAGGGTCCCCCAAGTGCTCCAGGGGTGATTCCTGAGTGCAGAGCCAGGAGTCACCTCTGAGCATCATAGGGTGTGGTAAAGGCCCTCCCGTTGTTCATCGATTTTCTTGAGTGGGCCCAGTAACGTCTCCATTGGAGACTTTGTTGTTACTGTGTCTGGCATATCCAATACTCTCGGTAGCTTGCCGGGCTCTCCGAGAGGGGCGGAGGAATCGAACTCGGGTCGGCCATGTTGGCTGCGTGCAAGGCAAACACCCTACCGCTGTGCTATCGCTCCAGCCCTGCTATGGCTCCAGCCCGTGTTATTTTGAGGGTGTGGCTCAAAATAAAATAAAATAAATTGTAGTGATGGGGGCCACGGAGATAGTACAGTTGCCTTGCTCTTGCATGCAGCTGATACAGGTTCGATCCCCGGCATCCCATAGGGTCCCCTGAGCACCACCAGGAATAATTCCTGAGTGCAGAGCCAGGAGGAACCCCTGGGCATCGCCAGGTGTGGATCATAAACAAAAAATTGTCGTGAGGCTGGAGAGACAGCACAGCGGGTAAGGCGCTTTTGCCTTGCACATGGCCGACCCGGGTTCGATCCTCAGCACCCCACACGGTATCCCGAGCACCCCGGGAGTGCTCCCTGAGCTCAGAAACAGGAGCTAGCCCAGAACCCTGCTGGTTGTGTCCCCCCAAAGCCAAACTGTCCCCCTCTGGAGGTTAGTTCCTAGGTTCTGTGGATTGGGGGGCACAGGGGGTGCTGGGCAGGGAAACTGAGGCCCTTGCTGTCACCTTCACATCTGCCACTGCTGTCGGGCCCCTGACCACACCCGGAAGTGCGGCCTGTTTTACGGGTTTGAGGCGGAGGAGGGGAGACGAAGGGAGTGGGGGTAACGGGGGCGCAAAACAGCAGTTGGAGGCGCCCAGTGGGAGAACAGTTGGTGGTTTGGGGGTGTCTTGGGCAACTTCCCACTTTGGGGGAGCGTGGGGCTGGCCTCTGCCTGGTGGGGTGCAGGCGACTATAAGGTTGCAGTCTGCAGGGAGCCCAGCCCCTCCACCATGGCCACCCTCAGACTCCTGAGCCTGCTGGTCGGCTTGGCCGTGTTCCCCGCCTGCAGCAGGGGTGAGTGCCTGGCCTGGGGGGTCTGGAACAGGGGGCCTGGGGTGAGGAGAGCTTCAGGTAGCTGGAGCTTGGGAGGCTCTCTTTTTTTCTTTTCTGGAGTTGGGTGTGGGGCTGGAATGAGAATTGTACTTTATGGATGTTTGTTTTTATTTTGCTATTATTTTGTGTGTTTGGGGGCACCCCCTTTTCCTGTCTCCCCGTCCAGCTGACCGGAGATAACCTCCCGCCGCTTGGTCCCCAGGTTCAGCCTCTTGCTCCGACATCGTGGGCGGCAGGAAGGTGTCCCGCAGAGAGATCCCCTTTCTGGTCTCCCTCCAGGATCAGGGCCAGCACTTCTGTGGGGGGGCCCTGGTGCACGCCCGATTCGTGCTCACGGCAGCCAGCTGCTTCGGCAACAAGTGAGGAGGACTCCAGGGGAGCAAGCGGGGAGGGTGAGGGAAGTGCTGGGGATGGGCAGGGGTGAGGAGGGGTGAGGAAGGTACAGGGGGGAGTAGGGTGCAGGATGAGGTGGGGTGAGCAAGGTGCAGGGGTGATGACAGTGCAGGGGTGAGGAGGGGTGAGGAGGGGCGAAGAGGGTGCAGGAATGAGCAAGGTGCAGGGGTGAGGAGGAGTGAGGAGGGTGCAGGGATGAGGAGGATGCAGGTGTGAGCAAGGTGCAGGGGTGAGGAGGGATGAGGAGGGTGTAGGGGTGAGATGGGGTGAGGAGGGTGCATGCAGGGGTGAGCAAGGTGTGGGGGTGAGGAGGGGTGAGGAGGGGTGAAGAGGGTGCAGGGATGAGCAAGATGCAGGGGTGAGGAGGGGTAAGGAGGGTGCAGGGGTGAGGACGGTGCAGGGGTGAGGAGGGGTGA